TTTATTGTCTTATTTTCATGGTTTTCAGTCTGTTACCGAAGTAGGAACATGCTTATTGCAAAACGCCATGTACAAATAAACTGGTAACTAAATATGGCGCTCGTCATATTTATGTTGCATCTCTGTATTTTCAAACTTATAATTCTGCAAAAAAAAACTTTAATTTTTTGATATATACCAGGAAAGTATATAACAAAAAACTTTCACAGAAAACGCAAAAATTCTGAAAAATCTTCACAATCATCAATCCCCGTTCGCTCGTGTAAAAAACAACAACAACATGTTTTTATTACTTGAAATGAATAATATTTTTACCAAAAGTAATGGCTAGATATACTGATTTGGTGTTTCAGTGTAAACTTTAAGTAATCCGATATCAAGAAACGCATTTCTTTATTATCTGTCACATCTTTATACACATATTTCTACTTAAATTGCTTTTCAGAAACCTTTTTATTGATGCTCTGCATAACTCACTTTACGAAGACCATTACCTGTTAAAATTAAGAAACTGATATTATAGCAAAAAAAAACATTATTAGAGTCTTTTCAACGTGTAAAGCGTTCAACTAGGTTTTTAACAGGCGGGGATTCAAGAGGTTATTTTTTATACCCCACAAGGGAAAATATTTGCGAGATAATTCGTGGAATAACGATCAAGTGTGAGTGCGTGTTTAAATGCTAACAAGCTGAGAGAAAATGCCTTTTAGTATTATATTAGAAAACATCTATCGAGTTCAGCTTTCAGAAAGTTCCCCGTTCCTATGGTTCTTGCACCTAAGAGGGGATATGAGGGCTCCAAGAGACACTGTCACGAATCGAATACTTCGGACTGTAAAAACTGATATCTGATTTAATGGGGGCAAGTTTACATGTTCGGTCAAGTTGTCTAAAGAACTCTCATGTTCGATGGCCATAAGATACGTATTGATCTAAAAAAAGAACAAAAACTTACAATCACACTAAGAGGAGATTATATAGTTTTAGGTAAAGTATCTTATCCTGCTTCGTTTGTTCTATTGTTAAATCAGTGAATCGAATTCTTTTTATCAAACATGATAAAAGAATTCGGTGTTTATATTAATCAAGTGTGATGAAAACAAAAACAAAACCTATTTCATGCCATAATAAAAAAAACAGAGAGATAGTTACCTTATTTGTTTAATTAACAAAATCTGAAAGAGATAGCAAGCTGGGATTCCAAGTTCAATATTTTAGAATGTATAGCGTAGGAAGAAATATACATCAAGTAACACGGTTCGTTATTATAACATTTGTTCTGTTCCAAAGTAATTAAAACTTATTTTAATAACAGCTCTGAGTACAATTAGAGAAATAATGTTAAACATTGTAATCTATGTTTAGTTATAAGATGTAACACAACACAGCCATATGCAAGCATACATGTGTTCCAATTAACATTAACTAATAGACGTCAGTACTGACATTTGTACTTAACTTCACGTTTGTCTAAATAATTTGTTGGAGATAAATATTCAATGGTTATATTTAAGATCAGTGGAAGTTGGTGATAACATAGACTTACAAATATTACAAAAAATAACAACAATAATTTAAAGCATTCTTTCCCGTTTCGATGGTTGAAAATATTATATACAAAGGTGGCCCACAAAGACCGCTAACAGAGGAGTTTAATAAGTGACTAATATCAGCCGATATAAAAAAAATTTAGAACATTTTTCACTTTCATTTATCTTGTCCCCAGGGAATCAGCCGTAACTTTATAAACTTACAACGCTAAACTCCGGAGTTCGATTCCCCGAGTTGGACAGACTGTAGAAAGCCAATTGAGTACCTTTGCACTAAAAGACAACAACAACATTTTCTTCCAGGTTTGAAGAAAGATTACTTAGCCAAGAGATAAGATGGTTTACACAAACATTTCAAATCAAGCACTACACTAAACTTATAGTATTAGCCACGCTATTGTTGTTTATTTTTTTTGTGAACGTGCAGTAGCAGATGAAATGTTTGGATTACATTTAGATTATACATCACAAAACATTAATAACAGGTGGATAGTTGGGCTTAACCCTAACAAAAACAAACAAACTGAAAGATGGTTGAGATCAGTACGATTTTTTTTTTCCTACAAAGTAGAACGAATTCTTTTATTTTTACGTTTCATGGAATTTTCTGTCATAGTAAAATAAAATCACTGTTCAGTTTGCTCTTCAGATCTTAAACAAAGAAGCAGTATCTCAAAGTCATTTATGGCTATTATGATATTTCGCAATACATCAGTCCTCGTGATGACAGGTAATCAGTCACTTGCTGCACGACATCAAGTAATCCTTATCTTGTTACCGCATTCCAGCTACTATACGTCAATAAAAAAAAATATATTATCTTGACACCTCTCTTTCTTCCATAAAATGGATGAAGCTTGTTTGAAACGTACGGGCGTTATAGCTTGTTCAAAAAATCTTGAATTGACGAAATCAAGTCATACATTTAATTCTACGGAGGCTATATTTACTGTGTTCAAGAGACACACTTGCGTTCATCTCTAATTTTGATGTTTCTAAGTCTGACAAAACTTAGAATACATCAGAAGAGAATGTTACAAAATAAAGAAGATGAATTCCATTATAAATGATATATAGTGTTGGATTATGAGATTAAGTTCCGTGTGGTTTGTTTTACCACTTCATTGTTGTCACTGTGTTCTCCACACACCCATAAGACAATCATGGAGTAGGAATTTTAACTTCAGGTGATAAGTTTTGCTTATTGTTTCGGTGATATTTCTTCAACAACCTGATTTATAATTTTTATTACGTTTACTAGTTAGTACTTACAATCTGTTTCATTAGGAGCAAATATCTTTTATTGTTTAGATGTAGGATATTGTGGGGTTAAGCGCCAAAATCCCTTATTTTGTTTGTTTTTAAATTCTAGTTTTACGTGTTAGGATTGCAAATAGAGGTTAGATGAGAAGGATTGTATCCTACTATTGTGTAGATCTTATTTCAACAGGTATCTTTCACAATAGTGCTGTGTAGATCTTACTTCAACAGGTACCTTGCACGTTAGGGCTGTGTAGATCTTACTTCAGCAGGTACCTTTCACACTAGTGCTGTGTATATCTTACTTTAACAGGTACCTATCACATTAGGGTTGTGTATATCTTACTTCAACAAGTACCTATCACATTAGGGTTGTGTATATCTTACTTCAACAAGTACCTATCACATTAGGGTTGTGTATATCTTACTTCAGCAAGTACCTTTCACACCAGTGCTGTGTAGATCTTACTTCAACAAGTACCTAACGCATTAGGGTTGTGTAGATCTTACTTCAACAGATATATTTCGCATTAGTGCTGTGTAGATCTTACTTCAGCAGGTACCTTGCACATTAGGGCTGTGTAGATCTTACTTCAAGAGATAACTTTCACATTAAGATTGTGTAGAGCTTACTTCAGCAGGTACCTTTCACACTAGTTCTGTGTAGATCTTACTTCAACAGGTACCTAACATATTAAGGTTGTGTATATCTTACTTTAACAGGTATTTTTCACACTAGGTTTGTGTAGATCTTACTTTAGTACGTACCTTTCAAACTGGAATACATTCTACCGTTCCTACTCCATTGTAGTTTTATGTGTCTGTTCTATAATATAAGACGACCTGATTATTGTAAGTTAAAAAATCATCAAATATTGCTTCACACTCTCTTCAGATATTAAATTCAATATTAGTGTTGTATTTTCTTTCAATATAAACGCGAAGATAATAAATCAAATTCGTTAAGAACTTTCATGTTTTTTTTCTCCTGGTTGTGATCGTTTGCTAAATTTTGAGCAAAGCTACTCGAGAGCTATCTGCGTTAACTGTAGCTGATCTGGAAGTGATAGAATAGAGAGAAGGCAACTGGTCAACACTGCCCACCGCCAACTCGTGGGCTACTCTAGTCGAATAGAGGGATTTGACCATCACTTTTATAACGCACCTGCAGCCCAAAATGCGGAGTCGTTTTTTTCTTTCTGACAATAATGAAAGCGAACCACGCAACTTCGAATCAACAGTCCTGTACACTAACCATTGACCCACACGCTGCCCTGCTGATTATAAACTGGCTGTGATTTGATGAAAAAGTAATAATTGCACCAAACCTTATCAGCATACCATGTTGTTTTTCTAGCTTTATGGAAAAGTTATATCTATATAACTTAGGACTTAGGCTGTCCTAAGTTTCGAACTGTCGACCACGGGGAAGGTAACGGCCGGCAGCACCAATAGCTAATTCTTGAATACTCATTTACAACGAAGAGTAGGATTGACGGTCACATTATAACGTTCCTACTGAAAGTATGAGTATGTTTGACGCTGGTTTCGACCCTACAACCCTCAGATTGCGAGACGAACTTCATAACTTACATGCCTGGCTACATAACATGTAGAATACCAAATCAATGAAGAATAATTCATAAAAACTTTTAAGTTAAAGTGAAGAACAGTGTATAAGAATATGTCAACCACGTTATATCTGCTATATCCAGTGTCAATGATGTCTTTCGCCCAATACACCAGGGCTCTTCAGGCCGGTTAGGATACGGCAGATACCTGTTAGTGGTTGAAAGACTACTTATGTTAATAACCCGTTTGACAACAACGGTTACGGTGTGAACTGGATTAGGTTGGTGAAGTGTAATTTTTCATCAATTTATATTTATGTCATACTTGATCAATCAACTAACAGTCACTACACCTAACCACTAAATTCGTTGCTTCTGCTAGGCCACGCTATCTCTGAATGGTTCCAATCTCTTGCATCAACTCATTCCAGCTGTTTTTTGTTGTTTTTTTGCTAAAAACTTGTTTTAAACTACAATATTCATTTGACTGGAACTAAACCTTCAGCCAATAAACATTTGTAACTTTATGAAGAACAATTAGCAAATACTATACAATAAGTTATCCTTTAAAATATTTATATTAAGACTTAGAGAAAAAAAAAAGGAAAAAGCCACCTACCTTCCACCTAGTGCTGGAAAGTGAGGCACTAAAACTGGCGGATATTCGGGCATGCTGTTTGGCGTTCGAATGTTTCCTGGTTAAAAAAACAAACAAGTAATTAGTTGAACAAGACGATGTCTTACGGAGTTCGTTGACTAGCTTCACGGATTAAGTTAGGCTACAAGTTGTATATCTATATACAAGCAAGGTAAGGGAAAAACAAACAAACATGTAACTGTTTTTTGTGGGCTATGTCCGAGATGACTGGAATGAACGGCGTGGAAGACCAACTTCAGCACATATCTGTTGTCAAAAGATTGCTCAAAGTTTATAACTACTATGATTGTACTATCGTTTTATGCGATTTTTTCTTTATATTTGTGAAACATGGAACAAAACCTTATAACTCATTTTCTACTATAAAAACATACATCAGTATTACTTATCGAAGGCTTATTATATATCTTTTACCACTACATGCTTCATTTAGTTCCTTAGGGATTTTCATGAATTGGAAAAGTGTGTAATGATAGTATTAAAACCACACTATTGTCGCCAAATCTATTGCTTATGATGCGTTTCGCTCAATCAAGAGCTCAACAGGTCGGCTGGGACACAACAAACACAGTAGTGTTCGGAACACAATCTAAATAAGCCATTTGTTACAACAATAAAAACTGTTAGGGTGTGAATGCCTTTTCCAAACAAACGAAACATGATTATAATTAATTATGTTAACACTAATGAATTATAATCATGTTTCGCCAGCTTGTAAAAGGCGTTCAGACCCTAACAATTAACAAATATTACTTACCACCATTAACCTTTAATATTCCTGTTGTCTCTACAGTCTTGAAATCATTACTTGCTTCACACTTATAGAAAGCTGTATCTAATGTGTCCAGATAGTGGAGACGTACTCTGGAGCTTACGTGACCTTTGCCGTTATCTTTGATCCTTATATCAACTCTTCCTCGTTCTTCTTGTAGTGGTGCCTCGTTCTTGTACCAACGAACAACCGGCGTTGGATATCCACTGAAAGCACAAAGTAATTTCGTTTTTTGACCAGGGAATCTGGTCATGTTTACCAGAGGTCGTTCCACGCGTAAAAATCGCTCTTTCGTGCCTACAAAATCAAGAAAGATGTATATATATATATTTGTGGGAGGAGGCGGTAAATATAGTTATCACAAGCTTCCATTTTGAAAATAGTTTCGTCTTCACAACTCAAAATCATCCATGAATATCTGTTTTTCCGTTTATCACATTATTCACAAAAATATGCTCATCGTGAAGCACAGTGATAGTTCAGCTAACAATATGATACAGATTAAAATGTAGCAGACCTTAAGATAATCTATCCTTCTATATATTAAAAATATATTAGATTTAAATGACTTTCGAAAGGTTGAGTTTCTTCTTTACATATGTCTTGGGAAACAGTTCTGTGGTTATAATCGGTTCATTTACTAATAAGTATATAAAGCGAATTTCAATCTTTACTGAAAAAACATAATGAATATATTTACATCACGCAATGAAACATGTTTTACCAAAAAATATAACTACTTACCAAAACACAAGAGCTTACTTTCACTTTAAAATTTCAGCATAGTTTTAATGCAAGTTAAAAGGGTACGATCACAAAAATAGTACGAATAAATTAATATTATTCAATTAATAATTGCTTCTCTTTTGAAAAATTTTATTATAAAGTCCCAAACAAATTAAAAACAACAGAGATACTTTTAGAAATTAGGCTTGGTTTAAATACACAATGACTGTTAATCCTCTGTCCTTTTTCGAGAGTAAAAGGTATTTCTTATTGAATTCAAGACAATTAACTGATTCAAAAACACGTGTGTAATGACGAAGACTTTTGCGAGCGACCCCTGGTGGTCTGTATTTAAAATTACTTTTTTCCTTCCGTCGGTGATATAATGATAACTATAGTGGACGGAACTAACTGTCAACAATTTCATCAGCACATATGATGTTAATGATAAATATTTGGTAACATTAGAGCATGATTAGCACTGGGAAAATATCAGTTTTTAAAGAATGATAATAAGCGAAATCCCTTGCAAATATAGATAGTATTTTAACATACTTTTTATATCTTATTTCCACAGGAAATAATTTAATTAAGGTTTCAACTAAGTATGTCAGAGCCCAACATTTATACGTCATATATTTTAATAGCGGACAAAATCATGCCTTTGCTGCGTTTGTGGTTTTTAACAAATTAAAAAGTCGAATAAAATAACCAGTTTGGAATGGTTGTTGTTTTTACCATGCATTTTCCAAAATTTTAAGCTATCGTGCCTTTTATACTTTAAAAAGTCTCTTTAAAAGAACAATTCAACTAGGAGAGTTACCGTTCAATAATGTCATCTAAAAACCACCAATAATCATAAAATAATTGAACATAATGAGAAATGTTTTTAAAATACCAAAAACAACAGACCATTTGTCACTAGTTCGTTCATCAGATGTGGAAGGGGAGTTGTATAATCTGTTTCAAACCTGTAAATAAAAAAAAGGTGTCATAATCGTAGCGACTGAGAAGTGTAATGAAAACAGTTAATGGACAAACAAACCGCCGAGTTAACTTTGATGAATTTTGAAATCCAATATCAAAAATAACTTAATGAGAGTTATATATGGTATATTTAATGGGATGTTTTAGTTTTAGGATTAGTTTGATGAAATAATAACAAATACACAAACACTCACGCACAAGTTTAGAGGATCAATCACCAAGTTTAGATTGTATTGGTTCATTGATAATGTTTGTTTTCCTAAATAAACAATATTAAAGTTAAAGAAAAATATTAATTGGTTTCACCAGCTAGCTGTAAAATAAACCTAATTGTTTCTCGCCCTTGCTATGAGGAATGCAGTTGGTTCTCTTGTAATTAGAACCACACTTTTTTGTTACAAAATATTAGCATAATTACTCTTTAACTTTTACTTTGCCTTTTTCTTCTGCAGGAACTATAACGACTTACGGTTTCCAACTACAAACAGTGAAATGTAATAACAAACAAAACTGACAGTAAGATATCTTTTGTTTTTTAGTATCATTATTTTTCACCCTTACTATGTTCAGTAAAAGAATGCGGACATACTAAAACCTAGAGCAATTCATGTGTAAAATACTTAGAATATAACGTTCTCTAAGAATTCAAATTAAAAGTTGCTTTTTCCATTTACATCTAATAATCACAATTAACTTAAGTATTCTATAACGTCACTTGTGATAATATCAATCAAAACTGGCTTCAATGTGAGAGGGGGGGAGTGAGTGAAAAGGTGGGCGTGACCCTGACTTATGATTTTTGTTTGTTAGGGTGTGATTATTTGCCCATATTTTCCTCGAATCTTTCTACATTCTCAAGTAAGGACTAGAGAGTTTCGAAGGAGCATTTAGCTCATTTTCTCTTGCGAATCTAAATATTTAAACTCCTTGGCCACATTATTAAAATAATAGAGATAAGAGAACTCTCCATTAATCTCTAAAACAAATCATATCTCACCACGAAAAGCGAAATAGGAAATAAAGAGAAAGTATATTTTCAATTCCTCAGCCGTAGTTTTAATCGTGCATGAAAAGTCTTTATTCAAGCAAGAACTCGGTTCAAAAGAGATATATATATTACTTTCTTTGTACCTTCGCCGCGAGAGAACTAATGATAAGTTTTTACTTACAAAAGAACAAGAACAGAGTAGTACTTGTTTGACATTTTTAAATAATGATATTAATTTATAAACAATCGTTGGTTTGCTTTGTTGTAAAGTTCAAAACTACACAATGATCTATCTGTGCTGTGTCTACCACAAGTATCGAAACCCATTATTTTAGCGTATAAGCCTTCAGAGATACCGCTGAGTCACTGGGGAGACCATATAAACGACCGAATAATTATATTCATATATAAACTATCGCAGACATTTATGTTTCTGCAGAGAGACAATGTTTTTATATTAATATATAAACTATCGCAGATATTTATGTTTCTGCAGAGAGACATAATGTTTTTATATTAATATATAAACTATCGCAGATATTTATGTTTCTGCAGAGAGACATAATGTTTTTATATTAATATATAAACTATCGCAGATATTCATGTTTCTGCAGAGAGACATAATGTTTTTATATTAATATATAAACTATCGCAGATATTTATGTTCCTGCAGAGAGAGACATAATGTTTTTATATTAATATATAAACTATCGCAGATATTTATGTTTCTGCAGAGAGAGACAATGTTTTTATATTAATATATAAACTATCGCAGATATTTATGTTTCTGCAGAGAGACATAATGTTTTTATATTGTTTCTTCTTCTTCTTTCTCTCTTTTTTTTTCAAACAATTTTCAATCGACCACTATTCCTACATTTCTCGGCGGATTTGACTTGAATTTTGATTCAATATTTAGGCCCTTTTAAGGATTTTATGAGGTCAAAGAATCAAACAACTCAAAAATGTATATTTTTGGTTCGTGTGCGGTCAAATTTCCAGCAATCGAGATGAAAACTGGCAGAAATATTAATTTCCATACGCCCAACACATTTACATAAAATAACCTTGGATTTACCTATTTTGAGACTTTTAGGGCGATTAGAGCTCACAGAAAAACATGATTTTGGGGCTTTGGTCAATTACTCGGCCATATTTTACCCAACTTACATAGCATTTGGAACAAAGATGCTTTTCTACAGACCCCACACATATACAAACAAAAATAGTGGACATGCCCATTTTTAGTAATTATAGGGGTCAAGATGCCACAAAAAGCATAATTTTAGGATTTTTTTGACAGTTATTCCGCCGTATTTCGATCAATTTACATGGGATTTGATATAAAGATACCTTTTTACAGATCCCATACATATACATACAAAAATGTAGGATAAGCCCATTTTTGTTCATCTTAGAGAGGGGTAAAAAGGTTAAATAAACCCATAATTTTGGGTTTTTTTTATCAATTAATTGGCCTTGTTTGTACCAATTTTACTTTTTGCAGGTTCAAACAAAGATATAGACAATTTGATTTTTTTGTCTTTTGCTCAATTTTTCAACGAAGAAAGTACAATTTATGGTTTTCTTGAACTATTCGCCCCCCAGTGACAGCGGTATGTCTGCGGACTTACAACGCTAGAAACCAGGTTTCGATACCCGTGGCGGGCAGAGCACAGATAGCCCTTGTGTAGCTCTGTGCATAATTAAAAACAAACAAACAAACAAATCTTGAACTATTCGTGTGTATGTCAACCAACTTATATGAAATTTGCTACAAAGAAACTTTCTTGCAGGTTCCAAGTAGTGACATTGGAAGTTTTCGATTTTTCTGTGTTTTCACATTTTTTCTGGTGTCAAAATTGACCATGTTGAGATTGCATGGCGACAATATGTTGCATTCGCCCGCGAATATTGGGATTTTTAATTTCAGAAATTAAATCCACTCACGGGCGTTTAGAGAAAGCGAAATCCTGTCTTTGTAGCAAGCTGACTGACAAAGCAAAAAACATAACTGTGACTCAAACTGGCATTTCTATTACCATTAACTAAACAGTCCAATAACTGGATCACATGATCTCACCAACAATGTTTTTAATTGTAGAATTTAATAATTAATGCTCAGTTGTCGAAAAATGTATTTAGTACTATGTAGTCCCCACTGGTCCAGGGGTGGTAAGTTTAAAAGTTTGTAATGCTAAAAACGTTGTCAGCGTTGTTTAGCTTTGTCAGTCAGTAAGCTTTCCGTTTCCTCAGTGGGGGACTTTTGGTATAATGGTAGAAAGTATCAAGAATGAACGCAATTTATACTATCTAAGGTTGACGTCAATACCAAGTTTAACAAATAAATGGCAGAGTTTGGCTTTGTTGAATTGTTGCTGTCTGCTTCTAGAGCAGTGCGACATTTCAGCTTTTACACTAAAACCTTCTTCAACTAAAAAAGGCATTACTATAGAAGACGAAACGTTGAACCACTCTGAAAACAGGCAGGCGTAGTCCATTAAAGTCAAACTCTACCATGTTTACACTGCTTGAAATACCCTGAAAAAAAAAGAATGTTTGTCAACTTTGCTCTCTCCGTTATTCTATCTTATGGTTTTCAAATTGAGTGCACAAATTCTGACTAAAGAGTGTTAAGCCGGTAAGAGACTCTCAGCTGTAATACGCTGTAAAACATGTACAATCTAGGCCAAAAATAATGCTTTTCAGTTTAAGATTCAACTTCCCCAAGGGTATCACCATTAAAGCACATCTATATAACTGTAGATTTTATGGGTAAATTTACTATTTCTGTTCCATTTCCATTTTCATGGGTTATTTATAGAGATAAACTTTTGTTTTGGAAGATTAAAAGGTGATGCTGCTGTATTAGTATAAATAACCTCAAACGACCATGGTGGAGTTGCTGTGTCAGTATAAATAACCTCTAATCGCCATGGTGATGTTACTGTATTAGTATAAATAACCTCATACCACCATGGTGAGGTTGCTGTATCAGTATAAATAACCTCAAACCAATATAGTAAGGTTACTGTATTAGTATAAATAACCTCATACCACCATGGTGAGGTTGCTGTATCAGTATAAATAACCTCAAATCACCATAGTGAGGTTGCTGTATTAGCATAGATAACCTCACACCACCATGGTGATGTTGCTGTATTAGTATAAATAACCTCATACCACCATGGTGAGGTTGCTGTATCAGTATAATTAAATCAAAGTCACCTGATGAAGTTTCTGTATTAGTATAAATAAACCAAAACCACCATGGTGAGGTTGCTGTATTAGTACAAATAAACCAAAATCACAAATCACCATGGTGAAGTTATTGTGTTAGTATAAATAAACTAAAACTACCATGGTGAAGTTGCTGTGTTAGTATAATTAAACCAAAGTCGCCATGGTGAATGAAAATTCAAGAACGAATGTAAAGAAGAAAAATGAGCTAATATGACATAGGCATGTTTATCCATTGACAAGTGTTTACAAAATCTGGGAATCTATATAAGACTAAGTATACTTTCTGTGAAATAATGAATATGTGCAAAAGGTAAACGTATTTTGTAGACGTATAGAGGAGGTACAGAAGTAACCATTATGTATTGTTTGTTTGAAGTTAACCACAAAGCTATACAATGGGCTAGTTGTGCTCTGCCCACGACGAGTATCGAAACCCGGTTTCTAATGTTGTAAGTCCGCAGACATACATATCACTGTACTACTGGGGGGGGGGGGCATTATGTAAGTGAAATCCTTCGAAACATTCCTTACGTGTGTGGTCTAATTTGTGGGTCCTATTTAGTCCAAAATACATTTAGAGTTTAATTATAACTGGCTTACTTACGTAAAAAAAAAAGAACATTGTGTTTTCCTTCCCATTATGCCCCCAATTTAGCATTTTACTGAAATTCAAAATCTAGGAACTAAAATGGAATTTACATTAAATATTTAAGTTATTTAAAGAAGAAATAAAATAAAAAATATATTATTTTTTCCACTTAAGAAAAAACATTTCCACAATAAACAATTGAAAAATCACCTGTGTAAAATTAATTACAGCAGAAGCCTGACTCTACCCCGAGATATTCCACGTTACAACAACAACAGTTAGTTACTGCTGTCATAGATAAAAGGTAGTATTGCTAGAGAGTCGAATTTAAAGCAGTGGAGAATATAATTATGCGCTAAAACAAAATCAAATCAAATTTTAGGTGAATTACGCATCTAAAGGATTTACTTATTTAGAAAAAAGCTAACAACAGTAAAAAAAGCTAACAACAGTAAAAAAGCTAACAACAGCAAAAAAGCTAACAACAGTAAAAAAGACTAACAACAGTAAAAACTAACAACAGTAAAAAAGACTAACAACAGCAAAAAGACTAACAACAGCAAAAAACTAACAACAGTAAAAAAGCTAACAACAGTAAAAAAGCTAACAACAGCAAAAAAGCTAACAACAGCAAAAAAAGCTAACAACAGTAAAGAAAGCTAACAACAGTAAAAAAAGCTAACAACAGTAAAAAAGCTAACAACAGTAATAAAAGCTAACAACAGTAATAAAAGGACTCTTATTTTTATACTCGTGTTACAAGAAATTTCAATTTTAGCGTTTTCTAATCCATTTTATATTTGCATTTGTCATTATAAGATATCAATTTCACGTTACACCCTAAACTGATTTGTTTCTGTGTTTTCATGTCCAATTGAATTCTGTAGATACGATCATCTTAACTTCTTATAAGTATATTAATTTCGTGGATGATTTTAGATATTAGCAGGAAATAGCAGAAACTATGAATATTGTTAGATTGCACAAGAGAATAACGTTGATGTAAATACAAGACTGACTGAAAGTTACGATATTCTGAATTATTGAGACCTGAGCTTATATAAATGTATGGGAGAGTATAAAGGGGATGTTTCATTATTAAAATGTCAATAAAACGTGATACAAATCCTAATTTCAATCATTTGTTGCAAGTTATATCGAATACGTTTTGTGGCAGCTATCAGCAGTCACATATATGGTTGATGTGGAATCCTTGCCTCAATCTTTGACCTTTCTCCTCGATGTAATTAATTTTTTAGTCATCGTGTGAACACACATGCATGAGTGTAGTTAGAAAAATCATCACGTGTTAAAATGAAGTAACTCATTTGTTTGACGATGCCCAGAAACTTTAAAAACCAAATGAATCTGTTGGTCTTAACGAAATTCTATACCAGTCATTAAACGATATCAGAACAGCGGTGGTGAAAATTTATCTGTTCATGACGTATTTTTTACAATTTGACACAGCAGTATCTTTTACAAAATTATGATATTTTTAATCTCCAACATATGGATCCCTCATATTAATTACCATCTGTGAAGGGAGCAATACCTTCTATAAATATTTACAATCAATGAACACTGTATATTTCAGTAAAAGTCACTTTTGATAATCTTCCTAATCTTTACAATACCCATCTGGTAAAAGTTTGGAATATTAATAAATATATTTAGTAAACAAATTCACTTTAGTCCAGTGAATATTTTCAACTTCATTGGAAGTACTATTAACATAATTAAAAGCACATCTTGATAAGTCTGTGCCAATCAGTTGCATCTAATGTTTTATATAAAGCTCAAATGTAGTCTAAATAAAACACCATATACAAAAGTAAATGGCGAATTTTTGTTAATATTCTTTTCATTATTTAAATTGGTTTAATGTGATATTTTTAATCTCCAACATATGGATCCCTCTTATTAATTACCATCTGTGAAGGGAGCAATACCTTCTATAAATATTTACAATCAATGAACACTGTTTATTTCAGTAACTGTCACTTTTGATAATCTTCAATGTAACATTTTTGTTACATTTGTGCCCATTCACGCCCTTATTGGTCAAAAAATCTACAAGAGTGACTCTGTCTAAAGGTGAGTAAGCTACAAACAGTAAGTTTAATGTAATATAAAGAAATCATCATATTTAATCTTTGGAATAACTTGGCAACTGATAAACGCTTACAAAATTATACTTTTGCCATGATATTATATATATATATATATGTGTGTGTGTGTGTGTGTGTGTGTGTATTGTATACATCATAAGTATAAATTTATCTTAACTCCAACTCTTCTATCTATCTTCAAGGCTAAACATTAGTAAATAGATTATTGTATGATGATATATACTATTATTAACACATCTATTCTGGATTGTGTTTTAAGTTGTTGTTTTTTTATTGTTCAATAACATGTTTTATAGTCAACTGAATTAATAAGTTTCTATTCTTTCAAAAGTTATTCATAATAGTCACCAGTGAACATTTTTCTAGTAAAATAAAAGTGATATAAATCAACATTACTTCTAAGAGTTTCGCAATTTCCAATATTACAGGAAAACAAAACACCTTAACATTTCAGACTGAACTTCCACATTACGTTTTCACAACTTGTCACTGTCATGTAGATGAGACGACAACAGATTTTCCCCCTGTTAGTCAGCAGTCACTTTAGGAACTTAAAACGCTAAAATCCGGGGTTAGCTTCCCCGAGGTCAACAGTGTACAGATAGCCCATTGTATAGCTTTGCACTAGAAAAACAGCAACGAAAATAGATCTTTAAACTATTTAGTTATATACTTCAAGATAACAACCTGAAAGGACCATAAAAATGATTGCACATCTTGAATTTCTAGTGCATGTCTTTTAATGACTATGAATATATTTACATACATTTACAGCAACCTCAAAATGGAGTTACAAAATTAAATCAGCAAAACTGATCTATGTCCTTAAGCGTTATTATTTATCACGACACACGTCAACGGGAGTCCTCGAACAGTAGTACGATTTCGTCGGCAAACATACTTTACCCTTCAGCAAAATGCTGTTGCTTTCGCATACAACACTAAGCCTTATGAACCGATGCCCAGTTTGGGTTATATTTCAAAAAAATATTAAACCGTGCTTTGAAAACATAAATAACACATAACTAACTAAAATATGTAACTAAAACCAATGGAAAGTGATAGTTTAAAATTAGCTCTTTCTATCGGCTATAAACATCTACAGAAAAAAAAAATGCGTTAAGTGCGAAATCGTATTACTATGTGTAGAAAGTGGGCGAGGCTTAGAACAAATATGTTAAGTCTTCGTATTTGTATTACCTATACGTATGTCTCGAATAGTTACCCCTAAAATACTATGTTTTGACTTTTGCATTAGGATCAACAAGTCTTTGGTGTACTAATGTTTTCCGTTGGGAGATGTTTTGTGAAGTATTCGGACAATAAGTAATATATATATTGATCGAGAAATATCACAACAATGCTAAAATACAGACAAATAATTTTTATTTCTTACCCTTAAAGCCCTCACACCCCTAATGGATTTTTTGCATCAAAACTTGTTTTATATCTCAAAGAAAAAGCGGGAAAATATCTGGATGAAAACATTTTTGTTACATTTGTGCCCATTCACGCCCTTATTGGTCAAAAAATCTTCAAGAGTGACTCTGTCTAAAGGTGAGTGAACTACACAGAGTAAGTTTTTATGTAAAATGTGAACTGTTTTAAGAACTTGTTCCTATCTGCCCTTAAACTCACCCTATACACAAAATCAATAAATTTTTCTGAACCCAGGAAATTTCTTTACCCATCCTATAAATTACTAAACTTATCGTTTAATTTTGAATTAGTTCTAACTAAAATTTTAATATAATTAACTGTTTAAAATAAATATAACTGAAGTTGTAAATCTTGCTATAATGATGTTCAGTGCCTGTTGTTGAATGCTATTATACCTGTTGTGTTGTTACCTGTGAAAAAAAACACAAGAAATTGGTCAGATAACATTTATAGAAGACCTCTTTATATCATTATAATTAATATTTCATATTTATTCCACCGGTGGGTTTGTTTGTTTGTTTTGAATTTCGCGCAAAGCTACACGAGGGCTATCTGCGCTAGCCGTCCCTAATTTAGCAGTGTAAGACTAGAGGGAAGGCAGCTAGTCATCACCACCCACCGACAACTCTTGGGCTACTCTTTTACCAACGAATAGTGGGAGTGGCCGTCACATTATAACGCCCCCACGGCTGAAAGGGCGAGCATATTTGGTGTGACGGGGATTCGAACCCGCGACCCTCACATTGCGAGTCGAGCGCCCAAACCACCTGGCCATGCATTACCTATACGTATGTCTCGAATAGTTACCTCTACAGCGGTAAGTCTTCAGATTTACAATACTGAAATCAGGGGTTCGATTCCCCTCAATGAACCCGCCTGATTTCCTTTTCATTTATTAGTTCATTATCTCCACAATATTCTGATTTAGAAACAGTTATTAACTTTATTTGTAGTGCTGCTAAAAATGTCGTATATTTTTTACGTGATAGCAACATGTAGTAGCAGTAAAATATGATTTTAGTGGTAAATATTTGAAAGACCTTAAATATAACGTTTGATTAAGTTACACCATGCAAGATTGTTTTAAAGACCTCACATAGAAATGAACCATTTTTTTACGAATGTCATCAACCTTTCGCTAGAATGTACGGCTAATTTATAGCTATTAAATTGCAATATATTTTGCCAGTGAAAACTATTTAAACCACAATATTTTTTATCGTATACTCACCCACTCGCTGTTCTGAATTCATCTTCTTCACTAGCGACCTCTATGTCACTGACATCTTCGAATAGGGTGATTGATGGCAAAACCACATGATCGCGACGTGTGGCTAGAAAAGAGATAGTGAACATGATAAGAACAGGCAAAACTCTGATAGCTAGACTTAAACTTAATTAGAAATATATATCACAAAACACAAAAAAGTCCTCAACTTTTCTCTTACTGTCTAGCATTTCATTTAAATTGCGAAAGCAAAAAACACCTGCATGTACTAAGCAATCAATCACACACACTACAATTTAACAATATCAGTTTTACAGTTCAAGGTATTTTTAGAATACTAATATTTTCCTACAACATACCATTATATAAGTAGGCATACTCAGTAATATAACATCATGTTATGAACTCCTTTGTAATTCCACTCCATTTTCAAACAAAAAATTTACATATGTAATTAAGAGCTGTATATTTTAAAATGTTTTTTTTTTTTTATTATTCACTTAGCTTTCCGCTTCTCACTAACTTGTAAGAATGCTGAATGAAGAGATAAATGAATTGATGCACTTAAAAGAACGGAAATGGAAAAATCTATCTCATAAACAATACTTAAGTCTTAATGCTTCACGGGTCTTAGCACGAGCTTTACGTACGTTCTTTACATATGGCCTTTAACTTTACGATAACAAGCTGAAGAGTGCCCTACAAAAACAAAATTAAATAACGAAACTATTAAACCGACTGAAAATTCTTCAAGAGCAGGAAATATTTATAGTCAGTGTTCGGTATTTTGAGTGCAAAATGACACATGTGTATGTAGGTAGGTAAGTATGTTTTCATCAACTTCAATTTTTTCTTCTAAATTTATCCAAATGTTAACGGTTCTTTTAACAAATAATAAAAGAGCGAGAGCCATTACAGAAATAGACTAAGCTTAGGTCGAACAAGTACAATCATAAGTTTCAAAATGAAATAAACTTGAGATATGTAAAGGCATAAGACTTTACTTAATGGGCCAAAACGCTAGGTACTATATAGTAAAGCCAGCAAGTTGTGTGTGCACAGGTGTATATATAATAAATAGAAAATGTTTAACATCGTATATTTTTAATAATAATTTAGCTTAGAAACGAACTCTGACCCTAGAAATATATCTAGAAGCAAAAAAACCATCGCTACACCAAGAAGCGAAATTCTGGCACCATATTTTCACGTAAAGATCTGACACTACATCTAAAAGTAAAAATCTTACAGTACTTCTAGAAGTAATGACTTAACACTTTATATACAAGTAAGAACTTTACCTTTATCTTAAAATAAGAACCTCTAGAAATAAAGATATAACACGTCGCTTAGAAGTAAGTACCTGATATCTTGTTTAAAAATAAAGACTTAATACTCATGTAGTAGATCCTGCCATTACAACTTAAATAACCTAACATATCGTCTAGAAGTAAGAAGTAGAGATTTAACTATGGAATTAAGGATTAGTAGTACTTCTAAAAGTAAAAAGTTAACACTACATCCAGAAATAACGATTTAATTTCTCGAATCAAGGACCTTATACTGCGTTTAAGGTAAAGACTTGACACTAAGTTCTAAAAGTAAGAATCCACCATTATGTCTACATGTAAGGATTTGCTATTATGTCAATAAGGAATGACTTAACACTATATACTGAATTAGATTCAGAAGTAATGGTTAAACACTACGTTCACAAGTAAAGACCGACCATTATGTTTAAACGTTAGCATCTACCATTATGTTTACAGGTAAGGATCTACCATTATGTTTATAAGTAAGGATCTACCATTATGTTTACAGGTAAGGATCTACCTTTATGTTTACAAGTAAGGATCTACCATTATGTTTACAGGTAAGGATATCTACCATTATGTTTACAAGTAAGGATCTACCATTATGTTTACAGGTAAGGATATCTACCATTATGTTTACAAGTAAGGATCTACCATTATGTTTACAAGTAAGGATCTATCATTATGTTTACAGGTAATGATCTACCATTATGTTTACAAGTAATGATCTACCATTATGTTTACAGGTAAGGATATCTACCATTATGTTTACAAGTAAGGATCTACCATTATGTTTACAGGTAAGGATCTACCATTATGTTTACAGGTAATGATCTACCACTATGTTTACAAGTAGAGATCTACCACAACGTCTCGAGGTAATGATCTACCACTATGTTTACAAGTAGGGATCTACCATAACGTCTCGAGGTAAGGAACCAATACTACGTTTATAAGTAAGAACCTAACACTATTTCTCAAAGCACACATCTGATATTACTTCTTATATTTGTTTTTTAGTTATGTCTTAAAAGATATTGTGCACATTTATAACAGACTTGTCAAAAAAGTTGTTCTTCGTTGAATTTAAGTAAATGTTTCTGTGTTGACGTATGATGTATGTTTATGTATTAGTTACGAATAAGCTCTTCATGGTATATCTAAGTCACTCGCTCGTACCCATAGTTAAAAACTAGAGATTTTTTCTTGTTTATCTGTTGTTGTTTTTATGCAGCACATGTGCCATAAAATATCATTTTCAAGTGAGTCAATCTTATCCATGCAGTTTCAATCCGATTCCAAATAACCTACGAAAGAAATATGCATACGTACGTGTTTACAGAAAATTATCCACCTAAAGATAAGATTTGAAACTTAATTTACTGAAAGCTTTCACAGCTTCACAGCTGCACTTTAGTCAGAACAAAAAATAATAATGAAGTTTTCTTTCCTTCACTAGCGTTCCGACTGCTCTCAGTGTTAACATGTGTCTGCAGATTGTACATCATAATTACAGATATCACATCTCAGTGTCTGTTCGTCTACGAGATCATTACGTAAGTGCTGGAATATCTACTTCCAGATGCTAGTCTTAACGTGAAGGTTACGGTGATATTATTGCGAAACTGTGGCGAGGTTTTTTATTAATAAGGTTTTGTTGTCTAGGGTGAACTGGGGATTTTCTAGTTAAGTTCAAAATCTTTTAACAGTTCGCTCATTTTTTTATTAGTCGGCCTTTTAATCAAATTAAAAATTTCTACTTCGGTTCCTTATTCAACAGTATATACTAACACATAACGATAAGTAAGTGTTTATTTTAACGGACGCTGCCTCAACGTTTGGTATTTGAAACCGGACGTAGGTGGTGAGGGGAAGGCAGAAGTTTACTTACATAACTGATTAAAAAAAAAAGTGTTTGAAATAAAAGCAAAATGCTGATTGATTCGATTAACAAGTCATGCACAAAGGTCAGATAGGTTTTACCACAAAAATGTCGCTCTATACAAAGGGGTCTTTATAATTTAACATACACGGAAGAATATTGATGAATTAGTCATATACAGGCCTGCAAACTAACGTTTTAGTACAATATTTATAACACACGTGTAAAAATATTTATGAATTAGTCATAAATGTATCTGCAAACTAACGTTCAATTTTTTTTTCGAAACTAACGTTCAATTCCTATTTATTTGCAAACTAATGTTCAATTCTGGTTTACTTTCCATTATCTTGCGCTCTTTTAAGAGCAGTGCATATCTAATATATTATTGTTTTCCGTTTACAATCTCTTGACGTAAAGTTTTCTTTTTAACGAGTTGGAACGCTTATGCATTTCAAATTATCTCATTCATCAGAGGTATTAGTTAACGCTATTAAACGCTGCTAACCGAACATGTTGTTTTTAATTGTTTCCTGATATTTTTCATATGTGATCCATAATTATCTTTGACAACATTTGATAAGAGTATCATTAAACATTGTTCTGTTTAACCACGCCCTAAGTAAATTAATTAGCCATTAAGATAGTATCATTATTTAACGAAGATCTAGCGCAGTCGAGAATATACATTTTCCAGTAAATATAACATTAAGTTTAATCTATGATTGGGCGATAAATATATAAATATTTTACACATGGCCGTGTATCTGGAATGGTGATGGGGATTACGGTATGCTAAATTTTTAATAGATCGTAGATCAGACATAGAGAAATAATTGGTGAGACAATAACTCCCAGTCAGTGTTTTGAAAGTCTAGACTTAACTTGCCGATTGTGCACTTAATATTCACTTCGTTATTATACATGCGTTATGCACTCAATTTTAGCACTCTTTTCCTAATCGCTGCGTACTCCCGATGGGTCAGCAGTAAGTTTGCGGACTTATAACGCTAAAATCCGGGGTCCGATTCTATGCGGTGGACACAGCAGATAGCCCGATGTGCCTTTGCTCTAAAAAATAACACAAGCATAACCAATAGCTTCTGTTGATAAGATATTAATCTTTTCTGTTCTGTTACTTCAACTTCTGCTTGGCACCTTTCTGATCGAGTTTTGTTACTGATCATTGGCGGACCACTTGCCGATATTCATATTTTCCACAAATGTTTTTTGGAATTTTCTCAGCAAGAAGCCAATGTGAAATCTGAATCAACTAAAACCAGAAGATAAGTGGTAGGGGGGAAGGGTGCTTTATTTTAAACCTTACACTCTCAGTGACTACCTTCTTCAATCACGACCTTCATCTGATTACGTGGTCACCTGTCACCCCCTACCAGCTAAAATGGATTCTGTAATGTCTCTTTTTACGATCTGTCTGGATTAGTGTCATCGAATCTGTTGTACAAGATGATAATATCCCATCTAATTCGCTGCTTATCGTATCACAAACTATACAAATTGGTCGTCTCGCCACTTTCTGTAAAGCGGTTCTTAGATCCAAGAAGGTAGTGGAAATAAGGAATTGACACTACATTATTTCCATTTTTTTTATCAAATGACTTACGCCAAGTATAAAATAATGTATGTTTCCTTAGAACAAGTACAACTTCAAAAACGTTTAGTCTAAAAAGATAATTTCTGAACTCTGGAGTTCACCTTCATACATTATTTCTACTTCCTTCCTTGATGCCCCCAGTGGCAATACGGTATGTCTGCGTATTTACACCGCTAGAAACCTGGTTTCGATACCTGTGGTGGGCAGTGCACAGATAGCCCTTTGTGTAGCTTTGTGCTTAGCTACAAACAAACCTTCCTTGATTCACATGTGTCTGATATATTGGGACTCAAATG